TTGGAAAAGGCAGTGGAAGCTGATTTTACACGCTTCTAAATCCATTCCCAAGATGGCTGGTTAACTGCGAGTGGCAATAACACGAAGAAGATTAAGTCACACTAAAAGTCAGATCTTCACTGACTTAAAAATGTTGCTGTCTTAGAATGAATTTAGTGGAGCGACCCGGGGGCACAGTTTATAAAATAAAGACAATGCGCATCCTCATTAGCTTCTGTCTGCTTCAAGACAGGGAGAGAAAGGAAATTCTTCCTTTCGTCTAGTATCTTTACACAATTAAAGATGCCCATTGCAACAGGAGCAGGGAGTAATTAAGCAGGCACCAGTTGGTGTGTTGGGATGTTTAACTCATGCAGCTGGAAAGTAAGTTTTACATTTATTGAGATTCAGCTGTCATGTGGGGTTGATGTCCTGTCTGTAATTGCAGAGCAGATCTGGGCTCAAATTCACGTGCTTGATCAGTCATGTAGTTCCCATGTATGGGAATTTCTTTCTTGTTGGGTGTTCTGCTTCAGCATTCAGGAAGACTGAGGCTGTACCCATCAGCAAGCTGCTCGTCTTGTACGTCACTGTATCTATTGCACAAAGCTGGACTGGACTGAGAGCAGTGGAGATTTGACAGGAATTTATGTAGTTTAACCATGTTTACAAGTTATCACAATAACTGACTGCATAACTGTTATTCCTGTACAATCTGGCAATTTGGAAGATTTCCATCTACTGCACACCATGCTTGCTGTGCGCCGTAAGCCAGAACCACTTTGAGCATAAGGTTGTGGTCTCCTAAGGACTGAGGGAGTTTCACTGAGAAAGATGTGACTTCATGCTTCTAGGAGCGGCAGCTGTGAGGTAGCAGGAAGTCGCGACTAGATAATACTTTTTATAGCTGAAAAGATCAAATTGTATCTCAGTCCAGCTCTCAGAAAGAGTAGCTTTATATTCTCCCCAGCACTAACTCAGTTAAAAGCATGAAATTTCCCCCAGTCCATGAAGCAGGTGCTGTACTACCACTCACTTCCCTGCCCCACAGCATGTCTAGGACCTGTACACAGCAGGAGGTAGTTCTCAGAGAAACTACTTTTGTCTCTAGTTTTCAACAAATCATTTGCTAATATCAATTAATTAATTAATCTGTTAAATGTTCTTTTTGTTTTCGCAGGCAAAAGAGCTGGAAAACCTGGCTGCTATGGATTTGGAGCTGCAGAAAATAGCTGAGACATTTAATGACAACAGGAGAGGCTGAAGATGATCTGCTTTGGTGTTTCAAAGCTAGGTGTAGCTGTACTCACAATACCTGTATTTTGTGGTAAATTCACTGCCACTGGATTGTTGTTTGCCCTAAAAACAAGAAATACTATTTACTGTCCACTATAGTGTAGTGATTTATAAAGCTGGAAATGTCTTTAATTTGCTATTTTGCTATTGAAATTTGAATAGTGTGAATTTTAATATTATAACGTCTCATGCAAGGCAGATATTTTTAATATTGCTTGTGGAAATAATTGTGTTAGTGTTCTTCAGAAATATATGTCTGAGTTTGAAATAATAAAAATCATTGATTTTGGAGCAAACTTCCTCCTTGTTTATTTGGCTCACTGGGTTATTTCTGCCTAAGCTCTATGAGGTGAATAGGTTGTGTGCAGAATGTTCACTATTATTTTTAAAATTTACAGGGAGTCTGCCCATTCTTTTTATTCACCAGTTAGGAGGAGCATGAAAGGTAAGGAAGAATCCTGATAAATTTGCTGTAGTACCTCAGAAATGTCCTGTGAATAACTTAGTTCTGTAAATTAGTCATTAAAGAAACAGAAAGGTTGCAACACCACATAGCCCATGGAAGAAGCTGGTAGCAGAAACAGTGTTACAGAGCCTATGTTAGAGTGGTGCTAATTTTGCACCATGTGAGTACCTCAGTAGCAGTAAAGTGAGAGCAGGATATATTCTGTACAGTTTATTACACAGAACAACAAATACTGTGTGAAAGGAATAGTTTGGCAATCGCGTGTCAGTATGAAGCAGAAACAATACCATAATTAGCTTTAATTACTCCAGATATCTGGGGTTCAATTTAACTCATCCAAATGTGCTTTTTTTTTTTTCTTTTTGCAGGCTTTCTGCTGTGACAGTGCTTTTGTATCAGTTGCTTGTGTAACACCAGATGCAAGAGGTGCTATACAGAGAATTCAGCTGAGCAACATTATCAGTAAATGTGCAGTCTCTCTCCTCCTACCTTAACCCATTTAATCCACCTGCTCACTAAAACACAAACATGCTCTCCATTTAATGGTAAGGTGAAAATGCAGTGAAAATACTTGGTGAGATGCTGATCTGTGAACTGTCTGAGCATGTCTGTGCCTAGAGATTTTGGTAAGTGCTCTCAAATGTTTCATTTTGTTTGGTTAAGATATAGGAAGACTGCGACCTTTGAGAAGGTGGTAGTTTTGACTTCATAGTTTGACTTCAGTAGGACACTGATTTCACAAGGCATTTCCAACAACAGTAAGGAAAGTTAGAATGTGTCCCAGCTGCAGAAATACTTTGTTGTTTTCAATATCCAATACTCTCTTAAAAAATTTACAGTACAGTAAATACAGTAAGTTTTGCAATTTTTTTTTTTTCCTGAGCTGGTGCAAAAGAAAACAAACCTACCTGTGCATGCAAAAGAAAACAAACCTACCTGTGCATGCAAAAGAAAACGTGTCTGTGCATACTTAGAAGTAAATAACTTTAGTTGTAACACAGAAAGCTTTCTAAAGTTGTGCAAGTGTGTAATTCTTGTAAATGATTATTTTTTTTAAAAAAGCTCAGCTTATACAAACATACATTCATGAATCAGCAATGTTTTGCTTAAAAACTTACGATGTGGGGCTGACACCACTGCAAGCACTGAGAGTCAAACAGCTGTTCAGGCTGCTTCTGCCTGTTCCATTTTTACCTACGCATTTGCGCTGCCTCTTCAAGACTTTGATGAGTAATGCTAGAATACTTTTTTAAACAGCCCTCTGATACCATTTATATTAATTTGCATTTTCAAAAAGGTCTGTTGTATATTTTTGGCTTTGAGGCTGAATGATAGACCTTTAAACGAGTATTAGTAAGAAGCAGAAATGTGTTCCATATCAAATGAAGCAGAACTAAGTGGCTTTGGTTTCTGAGTGTTTCCAGCTCCTGCTGTGTGTACCCGTGGGAAATAGTAAATTTTGATGTGTACTTCCAGTAAAACACAGCAATGGAAATCTTGGTGACTGCTACTTTCACTCTGTTCATATTTTCAGCAAATTGACACGGAGAAAGCAGTCCTGTGATTGCAGATAAAAGTAAAAGCAGCTACCTGGTCTTGTGGCAGTGATACCTTTACCAGACCAGGTCCTGACTCTGTCAGATTTTCTTGTTGTATTATAGAAGCTGAGGCTTGAGAACTTCAGTTGCTTTTTGAGACTGGACACTTCCAACTGTTAGAGAAAAGCTGAAAGGTGTAAACAGCACCTAGTTCTCCTTTGTCACTTTCATTGTGCAGAGTTCAGCTGAGGTGAGTACTTTATGAGATAAAAATGCAGGCAGATACACAAAATTCCCTGATTTCCAGACACCAAAACAAGCTGCCCCCGTTTGGCTAAGCTGAATGTAACCACAGCCAAGACGGACGGTTCTGCTTAACGCACAGAGCAGTGAACACAATCTGGCACCTCAGCAATGGATATTTGTAGAGCACAGAAGACAGTGATGGAAGTTGCCCTTATCAGGCAGTCTGGGCAAGCCAAGTTCTCTACCTCATCTAAAGGATGTCTTCTGCAGAACTTAGTGGGCTGCTTTAAGCAAGCCATCTTTGGTTTAGTATCCCTGACCTTTCCTCATTCTTTAGAAGTCACACTACAAAACTAATTTAGAGTGGTTTATGTTCTGCACCTCCAGAAATTGAATCTCTTGAATCTAGCAACAGTTACGTTTCTAAGTTGTACATACAGGTATTCAACTGTCACCTTCATTTTTTCTCTACCTCTCCTTTTGTCTTTGAAATGTTCCTTTTCACGTTTTTTTTTTCTTTCTAATTTGTAAAAGACTTTACAGGATGCACTCATTCTGATTTGTTCCAAATTTTCTTTACTTTGTTACTTTTTAAAAGGCTTCCTAGAGTTTCAGTCAATCATTACTTGCAGTTCAACCTTTCTCTTTCCATTATAGTTTTTAGGATGATAATTGTGTTTCAACTGAACTGGGAAGGTTACATCGAGATGGGCTGCACCACAGTAATCTAAGGAATATGTTTCATCAGTGTGAAATTAATAATTTGAAATATTTTACATGAAGTGCTTGATACCTGGTTTCTTATTATGTTTCAGTGTTACAAGCATTACAACACACTTTGAAAATGCAGGACGTTATTTGATACTGGTAATGCATGTGAAATGAAGTCAGCTTGTCTTTGATCTATACTAGCTTTCCAGCTATTTAAATATTTTCCTCAAAAAATTTTTTTTTTAAAAATTATACAAACAAAATATCCAACAGAATTTTCTTCAAGTTATTAATTTGTCAGGTTATACATGATAACAAGTGGGATTTAAAACATAAGGTACTGCTTAGCCCCAACTCTTATTGTGCAACTGTTGTGGTTCTGTGACCCCCACACCAGCTCAGTGCAGGTGGCAGAGGGAGTACCTATGGCTGCTTTACAGGTAAGACAACTCTAGCAGTTTTTAAACTTTTTTGGGGGGTGTTTTTTTTACCTCCTGCCTTACAGCCATTTCATAGTTTTCCCGCCTTTCACTAGCTTTTAGGCTCCAATCCTTAAGTAGACTGGCTTACAGTTTCATCACACAGCAGATGTTGGCTTCAAAGTCCCAATTCACCTTCAGCATGCACGTGCAGCTGTAAAGGAGAACTTTTCCAACCTACTCCCCTAAAAATTCTTGGAAAAAAAAGTTAAGAAAAGCAGTTTAAAAAAAAAATAAATCACAGTTACTAAAAGCCATACATCAGATTTCTATTCCATATGTACAATTTAAAATACTTAAACTGTTTTAAAAGGTATTAAAGGGCAAAGTACAACAGATTATGTATGCACAGCAGTGAGGATATAGAAGAGAGGATGGAATCTACAGTCTTCTGAATTTTTCTATATAAATAATAAGATCTTTTTTAATGAAAAGAGGGGGGAAAAAAAAGTTGAAGATAGGTACACTCTAATTATTCACTCAGGAAAACTGTAGCTGCTTTACACAAAATATAACCCATTTTTATTTTGAGTTAATAGTCTCCTAAAAGAGCATTCTTATTAAGATGGAGAATTTTACATCTTTGTGAAGTCTAATCACTTGACCCCAAAGCTCCAAATTCCAGTCAAGCTGAAGTTGGAGAAAGGAAGCCCAATCCTGCTGGCTCTGAGTTCCCAAATGCACCTAGGGCTCCCATCCAGCGGCTCAGCACCAAAGGTATTCTTTCCACAAAACCTCTGCTAGACCTTAACTAGACTGTAATTTTCCCTCTTTTGAGAAATAAGAAAATAAATCTCATTAGGAAAAATATCCCACAGTTTAATTACAATGCCAAATGCAAAGGTAAAAAAAAAAAAAGCTACACATTATGAAAGAATAAAACTGTAAAATAAATATATATACACATGGCAGTTCTCAAAATGGTCACATCTTAAACACAGAACAACTACCAGGAAAATGACAGGTAACACTAACAAAGATATTGGTTAAGTGTTTGGTATTTAATTTACTAACATATGCTTTCCCCTGTATTTATTTCAGGAAACACTGAGTCATTATATAAAGTTCTGGAATTAATGTTCTCTTTTTATTGCTCCTTTGGAAAGAAAAATACTTTCTTGTATGAATAATTTTTGCTGCTTATGCTGCTTCCTTAGATTACTCAACACTGCAGGACTCAGTGTCTAAAGAGGGAGCAGATCACTACACAGAACGTTTTACCCTGATTTTGTTCTAGGAAAATCAGAAGCAAAATTACTTGTGTTAATTCAGATTCATGTTTTAAAAACTACGCAATCATATCCAGTTTTGGCAACAAACAAGAAAAGACAAAGCATCAGTGAAAGCACTCATGTCCACGTTAACTTCTCAGCCTGACCATCAGGTCTTTTCTTTGAGGTTAGTGTGCTTTCAGCGTGATGTCTGACACAGGTTTGCTTCCCCAGTTTATCTTCTTATTCTGACCATGTAAACTGGTATGGAGAGACAGTTCTCCCTACCACATAATTCTGCTTTTCATTGACTGATGTATGACAGACACTATTTCTGTGCTGTCCAGAGCACAGAAACTGTACCTGTTATTTTACTAACCACGTATCTCCTGAGATCTGAAAAACAAATCAATTCTCCCACTGTTAACAACAAAGGTCTTGAACTTTGCATCTTTTAGATGACGGCTCTTCCATCTTCAGTGCTTCTAAATTACTGGAATCAGATTTGCCCTTATCCAGCACAACAGTTATACCAGATAGAAGGTACCCTCCGCCTCCGCTCATTGTCAGTTTTGGATGGCTTCGATCTGGTAGGACCTTTAAAACAGAACAAAGAAAAAAAACTGAAAAGCATCTGTGAGGAGTCATGCTGTATGTGCGCATCAAATGGTGTATTTCAGTTTACAGTATTTGTTCCAGCCATGACATTTGAAAAGTGCATTTACCTTGAAAGGGCAAAGCGTTTGCAAATCAGAAACCACCTCCAGAAACACCTACTGTCCTCCTTCTTCATAGCACTTCCAGCAGAACTACAAATTCAAGGCTCAGACTCTTGAAAGTCTCATTAAATTGTTCAGAACTCACATACTTTGTGAGAAACCACAATGGGTCTAATATACCAGCAATCTTTATGTATCCACTACTACTGTAAGACACAGCAGTGAACTAAGACTTTCAGCTCTGCTATTCTTTTCTCTAAGTCTTCTCCTATTTTGCTTCCTTCTTCTTTTGACTGCCCTCACAGCTCTAAGCTCATCTATCTGTTTTCAGGAGGTGACACTGTGTTGCTCCTAGCTAGGGTTTCCTAATATTCACAAAGTACTGCACCCGGGCAGAATAAGCCTTGCCAAGCCTGAACATATGAACATCCATTGGTTCTCACCATCATTCTTGACAGCCAGTAACTATGGCCACCCTTGCCTTAAGTCAGTCACTGTATAGTAAATAATTCCTTATGGACTCCAGAAGCCTATGGGTGAGGAGCAAGCCAATACAATGCAAGAACCTTGAAGAAGGGGTAAGCTGCTTACAAATGAGGTGTGCTTCTCTTCATAGTGGGGAAGGGTGCTCCATGTTTATATATACCTTGTTTCAACAGAGTTAGTCAAATCAGTATTTTTCACTGTGGAGATTTTCCTAGACATGAGATTCCTCCTTTAGTTCCAGGAAACGTGTTACATGTAGATACCAACTTTAGAGGTCATTACCATTCTTGTGCTACAGAAATCTTTTAAGCTATCCAACCGACTAGAAATTAATAAATATAGTGTACAAGAAATATAGCAGAAATATTACATTAGATTGTCACTTAGCTACTATAACCCCTGAAGCAACACAATTATGAACTTTTTTTTGGCATGCTGCCTTTCTATTTCTGCAAGTATTTCAGTGAATTGCCTTGGAAGTAGGAATGAAGCATTTCCGTTCAAAAAACATTGCCATTTCACATTAAAATGCTTTAAATATTTTCTTGCTACTGTCATATAAACAAATGTATGAGCTTGCACATAATTTCAATCAATCCAAAACACATTTTGCTTCCCCAAATAATACAATCCTTACCTGGTAGCTTCGTAGCCATGTTTCAGATAGATTTAGATTAACAACACCACCTCTTTCTCTCAGCTTAGTGTAACATTCTAATAAGGGCTTAAGAAAAGAAATAACAGGTTATATGGCAATATAACCTCAAGCTTACAGTAACAACAGCTAGAGCAACGTGCTCCATTTACCTCTTTATATTGGCAGTAGACAACAAAAGGCCGTGAAGGAGCAACAAACTCCAGTAAAGACAGTAATAGAGGAGTGGGATGAAACTTGCTGGCTACAAGTAAGCTGTAAAAGAAATTTCATGCACATTAGTCTTCTGCTTCTTCAAGCCTATTCATCAAGTGACATTTTCTAGTTAGCATAGCACATCATTACAGCTTCAGTATTGCTCATCAGCACGTTTTCATGGCTCTAGCAATTCCCCAACTATAAAAACAAATTATTTCCTACTTGCACTGTTTAGAGGATGAAAAGCTTGTATCCAGTACAGCCTATTGAACACATTGCAGAAATATTCCTTTCAGCTGTTTTGAACTCTGCAATACTTCTTACAAACTGAAGAACTTTAACGCTGCTTTTATACCCTATGACAATAGTTAAAATATAACATTTTTTTTTTTACTGCTAGCTGTTCCTTAGAATGTAGCTTCAGTCACAATTATTTAATGAAGATTACAGATTTTAAAGATTTAAGTAATTTGTAATTTAAAGAGAAAATTCATGAATGGGCATGACTAGAAATCTTTTTAAAAAAAGAACTTTTATGTCCTTGACAACTGAAAGTCTTCATATTTTAGTCTTTACCTTAATTTTAATATCCCAGTGTAACTTGTATTTACCGATGCTTAGGATTCTCTATAGATACCCAGAGTTTTAATAAATAAAGTCACTGCTAAACCTGAAAGGGTTAAGATGGTCAAGAATGGTTAAGATTCAAGTAGCTAACAGGTTGTACTTGTGCAGAGAATAAACTGCTTCTCCACTATACAGCTATATAAGAGGACCTCTCAGTCAACAACTGTTCTCCAAGGGAACAGCACTGTATGCTCTGTCAAACTTGCCTAATAAAATGGAGGTAAAGATGTTAATTTTTTTTTAAAACACAAAAGATGAAAGAGTTATTTTGCAGTTGTTTACATTTTGGTTTTCTGTTGGCCAGATCCTGTGCAGGCTTCAGGTTTTCCTCAAATCCAAACTGCAAAATGTCTGTACTCAGTAATTAGCCAAGTGGACCATGAGGAAATAAGACTCTAAACCATATTCCAGAAGGGTCTGAGTACTGTACTGACACCAAAAGGAACTCTGCCAGACAACCGGAAGGTAGGAGAGAGATGAGGGGGAATGTGAGAAATCAAGTTATGTTCTTTCATATGGCAGCACACATTGCTGTCAGCAGGTAGTCTGCTCAGTCTCAAAATTAATGTAGTGGACAAGAGAGGGGAAGGAATAGGCAGAGAAAAGACACAGAAGGTACAGAGAAGGCTGTGTGTTCTAATTCTGAACACAGGGAGCATCTGTAATCCAATTTCTACTTTTATAGTATCAGAAAAAATGTGATGATCCATCACTGCCTACTCTTTATAAGACAAAAACTGCATCCCTAATGGATGCCTTCCTTCTTTCTCCTCAGAGACATACATCTGCCTTTAACTCACAAATGAAACTGATAAACAGGTCTAGTACACGAACTCTTTTCCCATGTAACAGCAGAAAAGAAATATAAATCTTATAGTTGTATCTTCAACTTTAAGTAGTAAACATTGTTAAAGCCAAGGTCTCAAGAAGGAATCTCCGTAAGCTGGAGCTCATCTTTACCTAATTACTAGTTTTCCCTTACTCTGACAATGTCTTATCCTTTCTCCCCATCTGTGGAGAAGCTTTTAGCTATCTTTTCCCCATTTCTCTCTTGCAAAACAAAACAAAATCTGGACTTCCTCACCTGTTATTTACTCCAATTCCAACCGAGTCATTAGTTTGAAGCACTTGCTTTATTCCATGCCAATTTCTCCTGCCTTAACGGCACATACTGCATGGTTGTTGACCTTAACAAATGCAGGGCTACCCAAGGCAGATGACTACAAAGAGGGGCACTGCTTTAAAGCACCCAGAAGCTTCTCCTCCCTTCCACCCCCCATACTCAAGACTTTCTCGAGCAAGTACTCACTTCACATATGTAATTTATTACACCCTTCTTGCTTTACCAACAAACAAAAGAAGAAACATCCATTTGTTTTCAATCACTTGTACAAGAGACAAAAGACTAACGAGGCTTCCTTGAACTCAAAATCAACAACTGGATTCTATTTTACAATGCAGGAAGAATAATCAAGAAAAGTAAAACCCTTTTTTTCTTTGCCAAATCGTGCACTGATGTTTTTTCATTTTAAGATGTGCAGGAGAGAGCAGTAAAAACACAGCAAAACGCAGCCACTGTTCAGGCAGTTTAGTGGTAGTCTGCAGACATCACTGGTGATCATTGGTGATGCTGATGGCAATGCTATTTGCAAACCTTGTTTTGCTACTTCAGGCAACACAGAATGACCTGTATCTGAACTTTCTCAGAACAGCTGAATTCTACCACCTAGCCATGCTGGATGAAATGCACTAAAATACAAGTGAGAATTAGTTAAAATATTTTGTAATAAAAATAAAAATTAAAAAATGCATATTAATTGCTTTTCTGAGAAAAACAGGTCTATTCCTACTGAGCCACCACATCAAAATTGTTTTGTTTTGCAGCATATGAATCCTTTTCTGATTATATTCTTATAAGGAAAGATGAATATGAATGCTATTAGATAAATCATTGTTACTTAATTAAATCAAATCACCTCAGCATTTGCTTTCTCATTTGATGAGAAAGTCATAGCCTCAGAGTGCTCTTATGTTAAACTCGTGGGGCTGAACTGATGAGAGTATGTTTATTTTTTTCTTCTAAGCTTATGATATTAAAATCATCAGGGAAATACTTTGTTGGGAAAAAAAAAAATTGCAGCTAATGCAGGTAAAATGAAATTAAGTGGTTTCTGGTGTTGTTTTAAAACAAATTAGTTTCATTTTTTTTAAACAAGTATTGTTCTAATTTACTAAGCTTAGGATCTCAAGTTCATTTTTACAGAAGAGAATCCAGTTTTTTATCTGCAGTCATTTAATATTAAATTCTACCTGGATTGTCTACTCTACATTAAACGTATATTTTTTAGATGTTTACTCATATCTAAAACTGATGGTTTCCTGATTAGCTCAGGAAATCTCAACCCCTTTAAGTGATGGAAAAAAAAAACAAAACAAAACTAGGTGAGAACCAAATGAGACCCAAGACACATTTGGCTTGACTGCTAGCTACTGAATATTAAGAATTAACTTTTTTAAAACAAAGCTTTTATTCATTTCAAAAAGCAGTGATTTCCTATAGATGCACTTCAGACAGAACAGCTTTCTGACTCACCCATCTGCGTTCTTCTCTCTCAGCAAAGCAGCAGTTTCTGTTAGCTTTTTCCTTCTCTCCCACTGTTTTCTTTGCTTTTCTCGAACCTTTGAACAATAAAGCATTTTGTGCTTTAACTCTGCATGAACTGAATTTTTGTTTTATGCAACTTAGACAGCTCAACATAAAGCAAGTTTTAAAACTCAATTTCAACACCTGAATAAGCTATACTTTAGCTGTCTGAAATCAGCAACATTGTGTTGAAATCATAAAACTCAAATAGCCATAAATCAATATTCTTACATTTTCTTTGTTTTCTCTTTCTTTATTCTCTTTAAATTCTGCATCCTCAGCGTTAACATCCATTCTTTCCTGCTCTTCTGTTTGGTTGATCTCCATAGCTGTTTCAGCAGAAGATTCCTCTTCTGTTCCCTGTACAGAAGTCTGCTTCTCATCAACCAGTCCGTTCATTTCTTCCTCTGTTAATGCGGTGTCTTCAGGTTCTGAAGGCAGAGTCTCCATAGACAATGTCCCACAGAGAAGACTATCCACTTTGCTGAGAGGAAATTCATGAAGATTATTGAAAAAAGGTTTTGGAAATCCAAAACAACTGGTGGCAGCTCTAACGGGCCCACCTCCTGGATACATCTGGATAATGGATCCATAGCCTACAGAAGTGGAAAAAATATTTCGCAGTAGTTCCTTTTAAAAGTATCAAAACTAAAAGTATTTCTTAAGTTTCAAATTAGCCCCCATCCTCTGCGTTACTGAACGACTTACCTCCCATTCGCTCCATCACAGCCCCCAGCACAAGGCCTGCACATGTTTCCATTACGACCATCTTGTTGCCAGCACGGACATTTCCTAAAGTAAGCATCTGAGCTAGAGTGTCATAACGCAAATGGCTAGAAGACAAAGGGTTTCAAGAAATATCACATTTCTTTTCTTAGAATCAGACATATAGCTCAACAGAGGCCAAACAGAGGAGGTTCGGGAAGGAGAAGGAAAGAAGTTTGAGAAGCCTTAGATAAAATAAAAAGCAGGTAAGAAGTAAGTGACCTCTAGAGATGCAGAGAGCCACTGCCAGAAAGGTAATTAGCAAAACAGAGGTGGCAGGAAGTGGTAAAAGCTGATGCTACATGCAAAAGAATTAATTTTTTTTCCCCCACTAAAGGAGCATATTGATTCATTTTCTGAATCACGATACTTTTCATTTATTTACAGTCCTTCCGTTAACAAGAAAAAGAGTGGTATTATATACAATAATATTAAAATATTTTTTCACAATATTCATATCTTTGTTCTCATTCAAGAGGAGAATGAAAATAAAAACTTACATAATTTTGCCAGGTTCCCTTGCATAATACATTGTTGAAAGAATGCGAGTGGATGGTTTTACAATTGTAATAACTGCCTCATATCTGTAAGAAGTACACAGCAATAGCCTTACTTCAAGCACAACAAATTCAGGAACTACTAAATATTTTCCACATTTTAAAATTCACTTACTTTTTTTTCTTCTTCTTTATGTATTTATCTTGAGCAAATTCTGTTTTGTCTCGGAATGTCGTACTGTTCTCTATTAACTGTTGAACAATTTCCTTAAAAGAGACAATTTACATTTATTTATTACAGCTGGTATGTATTTCTCATTCATTTCATATTTAGTGGGTATTTTTGTTTGTTTTTTTTCTTCTAACAAGCATAAAAATATTACATACATTCCTCTATTGGACAAAAAAGTTCTACTGACATTAATGGCAAAACAAAATTCTACTAATCAGCCAGTCACTAATTCAGCTTTAACTGTGAAGCCTCAGTACCTACATATTTTTTATCTCATGCTGAATATGAAGGAGACTACCCTGCTCTCTGTAGGTGATCAGCTGTTTTTAGTCACACTGTATTTAGAATGGGACAGAGTTATGTCTATTGGCAGTTATTATGGAACAGTCAACATATATTCTAAGTTCTTAGTTTAACTTTCACCACTGGGTACAGCCATGCAAAACAGTTGCTACATTTTTGAACAAAAGAAGGAACCTGATGTCATAAGCAATATTTACTTGAATCTAACTCCCTCTTTGGGTCTCTGACTTCAGCATCTCTGTCTCTGAGGATATCTTTTGCATACATATACTTTTTTTTGTCAAGATCACTTTAGTTTTTCCTCTCTATTCTGGCAATTTATCGGGCATCTCCCTTACCCCACTTAATTACTTCTGTCTTTCAAATTGTGCTAGACTCCTGTGCCAGCTCCTTGCAGGACATCAAATGCTTTAGTATTTGCTACTTCCTACTAGGAGTCCTAGTACTTCTTTCTTCTCCACCTTCCATATTTTCCCAGATTTCCAGTTTTTGTTTCCAGGTCTTGTTCTTATTTCCTCCCTTTGCCAATCCAACTCTCATTTCTCATGCTTTCAGATTCCAGCTGGAGTGATCATTAAGACCTCCAACAGAAAAAAAAAAAAAAAAAAGCTTTCACTGTTCAGATTTGTCTTCATGCCTGCAAGATAACAATAAATGCTGCACAACGCTGTTCTGGTTGCTGTGATCAAAGTAGTTGGACTGGCAGAATTCTATGTTCCTATTAAACATGCATGAAGAGCAACAGTGTAGTCTGGCCTAATAAGAGTTTGGAGAAGCTGCTGGTAGGAAATGACACAAGAAGTATTTTCAGCATGGACAGCTGAAAGCTCCCACTGTGCTTTGAGAACTTAGTCCAAAATACAATGGTGCGAGTAGTTTTCACTTGCTGGTTTTTCAAGCCTTTGAAAGCTAATGATGTGTTATTAAGAGGGTGAATCAGTGCATATTTTGCCTTATTCTTGGAAAAAGTTAAGTGTGGTATCTACTTTTATTTCCCAGTAAAATTTAGCGACGAATCCAGATAATATTCCTGCAGGGTAAACATAACAAGCTAAAGGCAAGCTGCAGCACTTTGCAGTACCCCAGGAATACCAGAGCCTAATACCACACACCTATCCCTCAGAATATGGGAGGAATTTGGGAAGGTGATGGGAAAGATGAAAGCTTTATTTCACAGAGCAACCATCTCTCAAACTAAGCCTGAATCACAAAGCCTAGGCATTGACTTTTTACACACCCCAATAGTGATGGGACAAAGGTGAACGGCTTTAAATTTTAAAAAGGAAGATGTAGGTTAGATGCAAGGAAGAAATTCTTCATTCAGGGTGGTGAGGCCCTGCAACAGCTACCCAGAGAAGCTGTGGTGCCCTATCCCTAAAGGTACTCCAGGCCAGGTTGGATGGGGCCCTGGGCAGCCCTGGGGAGGTAGGGGATGGATGGACGGGACAGCCCTGCCATGGCTGGGGATTGGGCTGGTGGGCTATAAGGTCCTTTCCAACCCAGACCATTCTGCGATTCTATGGTGATTCGAGGGATTCCATGCCATTCATATACACAAATTCAAATTCTACCAGACTTTCATGGAAGGATGGTATCCATTGCTGCGACTTAACAGTCTAAAATGAATATTCAGAAACCACAGTTCACAAAGTAGACTATTTTAATAACCTATATTATCAGTACGGTACATGTACAGCACAGACATGCAGAGCACATAAAGAAAAGACAGAATGACCTTCTGCCACAGAGCTAATGAGAACTAACAGAAAATGTCAAAGCCATCAGACTCATTAGTACATTCTTATCAAAGAGAAAACACCAAGAAAAGCACAACCATGGAAACAGAGGAAATACCATTCTAAACTCCTTGGACTCATCTATAATTAAGCTGGCAAAAGCAGAACAGCTGTTCTGAACAGCAGCAAGAAACAGCAGAGTGCAAAGACGAGATGAACTTGATGTAAGCATGAGCAATTTTTTATCTTTTATGAGAAAGGATAAACCAAAGATGAGAGAGAATTTTGGCTGACAACATCTGCAGAACAGAATGTGCTGCATAACATTTAAGAAGGCCTCACTTCTTGTGGATTAAGTGTGGGGTATAAACCAATACCTTTTCTAAAAGAACTGATCTCTTGAGAATATTCTTAGCTTTTGAAGAGCAGATAAAACACATGCATCACTGTTTGGCAGGCAGCAGCCTAGAGGCACACCAATAATATGCTTGTTACGTAGTGTCATTAGTTAATGGGTGTGTGTTTGTCCATAATCCTTCACTACATCTTTGATAGTTTTATTATGGGACAATTTTAATACATCTGTAATATAAAAGTAATATTTTGAATTTTTAAAGGAACAAACAGAAAAAGTGATCGTGTGAATTATACTTCCTTTGTGGTTTATATTTATCTTACATCTATTGTATTCCTTTATATGTCTGTTATGGCTCTTAATACACTAAAAGTTCACACTTGACTTTCTACTGATAAAGTTGTCAATCTTACATGAAGTTTTCTCTGAAAACAGCTTTTGCATTTTTGTAAAAACAGATCTTGAGCAGAAGAACAAAGAAAAAGCACTGAAGTCTATGCGCCATTAAAAAGAATAGCCTGTTCCATAAACTGAAAGATAACCATCAAGGTAGCACAGAAATGACACCAAAACCTTATTTTTTTACCTGTCCTTTAATACCCTTGTCCTTCAAAGCCTTTATGTCATCATGAGTCAGTTTTTGAGACTTTCCATCGTCAACTATGTTACGATTATCTGTACCTGCTTCTTTTGTTTCTAAGAGAAAAGGATATAGATTTGTAAAATCTAGCTCTATGTACTTTTCAGCTGGAGAAACATGATTTAAGTTTCACAGACAGCAGACCTCTCCATGTTAAACCCACATGCTTTGTGCTCTTGCCATGTATCTTGTAAGCAATTAACATGTAAGATACATCTTTCTCAATATATTCACCCAAATTAAGGATCAAATTTTCTCCCATATTAAGAAGTGTATTTGTTACAGGACAACTGGAACAGTAGATCAAGTAAAAAACATGCACTTTTATGATAGAAAGAAGTAACATAATTTAATGAAAAATTAACAGAAAGGTTTTCCATCATTTTTGGTCTTATCAAAGAATAACTTGTTAGTGCTTTTTTCCCCCCAAGGATCAATCAATCCTCTTAATACCTGTGGTAGTCTCTTCCACCTGTCTCTTTGGCTGCAGGTTTCCATCACTTGTTACTTCAAATGTAGTTCCGTACACATGTCCAATGGCATTATCCAGATAGAAGCCCTGCTTCTCAAAAATAATTTTTCTGAAATAATAAAAAAGTTAATGACATTTAAGGCATCATCTTAACCACGTCTGAATGGACAGGTGACAGGATTTGAAAACCTCCAACAGCTAGAAGTCAACTTGATGTACACCTGTTTTAGCTATGCCTTTGAAGCAAACCAGGATAACCATAAAGAATGAAATGCTAACTACTATTAACCACAACACCACATTATGCTGAAACTGGTTAGGAAAAGAATGAAAAACTTGAATTCAGTGTACAGCATGAGCAATGCGTTTTCAGTTCACAAGAACTCTGAAATGAGAAGTAAAACATAGGGATATAGAACTTACATTGTACAGCACCATTTTTGACATGAGAAACAAAGCATCTAATGCCAGATACTGCCACATGTTCTCAGCCTACCCTTACTCTCATTAGATTAAATAACAAATTAATACAAGTTATTTCATTCCCTATATTTACTCTTTTACTTTATTCTTTCTTTTATGATGGATGCTTAAACAAAACAAAAGTTATACACTGAGATTTGCAGAAAAGGATCTGACAGCGATGTCCTGGCAACGCTCTGCAGGCCAATACAGTAACCACCATCTGAATAGCTACAAGTGTTAATTGAAGAACCCCTCCAGACCCGATTCTTTTGCTCAGCATAAAGCCTCTCAAAAACCAGCATCCCCAGCTTCATTTTCTAGGCCTTGCTCACATACAATACCTTTCAGTCTCCACTAAATCAAAAGGCCAGAACACTAACGCTGACTTCTAAGCAGTGGTCTACAAACTCATCTGCTGCACTGGGAAGAGCACTGGAAGGGCTGTCCCTTGATGACAGTATTTCCTGCTGGGGTACAGGGGCTCCTTGCTATACCAGCAGGCCTAGGAAAGGGAAGCAAACTTTCACAGCAGCACTGTCCCACTGAAGCTGCTCCCTGCCCCGCTACAAAAACAACACCGCCCCTTGCAGAAAGCAGCGCGCACAGCAAGGGAAGCACGGCGACGGCATCTCCAACCTGCTGCTCTCTCTCAGCTCTTCAGTTGACATCGCTTTGACAACGACACCTCAGCTATCTTTCAAATTCGTTACAACTCTGTAAAAACACGCAACTAAATCCTTGTTGCTTTCAGCCGCCGCAGGTGGGACAGAACTGAAACCTCCCAGGGCTTCAGCGAAGGGTCCCACGGCGCCACGACCGCGGGAGGCTGCAGAAAGACCGCCAAAGAAAATGAAAAAACCGCCCACCGATCCCTCACCTCTTCCGCAGCACGGGCACGGCTTTGAAGACGTCGCCCCGCTTCAGCACGGCGCAGTCCCCCTCGCAAATTCGCAGGCTCAACCTCCGCTCAGCCTCCATGACCACTGGCGTGCTCCCGCCGGAAGTGTGTGCTCTCGCCGGAAGTTCCCCCTCTCTGCTTCCTGTGGCAGTGCGCAGGCGCCGCTCAGGAAGCGGTTTCCCGCCTACGTTGGGGCGTGTGGGAAGCCCCGTGCCCTACGGACTTTAGGGGCTCCTTTGGGGCTTCGGCCTCAGCGGTTTCTGTTATCTTTGTTTCGATGCATTTTGGCCTACTCTGATTCGTCAGGCGCCGAGGCTGAGATGAGCAGAGACCTCAGGGGCAGGGGGTGTTCCCGGAGACGGGGCTTCCAGGGCTGGCGAGGAGGCTGGCGAGGAGGCTGGCGGGGAGGCTGGCGGGGAAGGGCGCAAAAGGTGGAGTGTAAGAGACAGCCTGAGCCTGGTGAGCCAGCTCCTCCCTGCTGCTTCCTAGCCTGCTTGTCACTGGACAGCGGCAGTTTCTTGTCTTCTGGTGCACTGAGACCGCTGAGATCTGTGAAGCTGTCATATCCACCTTGTTTTAATCTCGATCTCTTTCAGCAAGTTCTCGACTCGTTCAATCAACTTTGGACCAGTTTATTCCATATAAGGGCTGGAAGCTTTATTTCTCTGAAGGTACTTTTAGGTCAAAGTTAAATCTAGCAGATATCCTGATCGCTTTTCTCCGGGTCTGGTTGCACGTAGAGCGGATAATAGGAATAGAAAGCAACTGAAATTCGTGTTTGTTATGTGAGAAAATAAATGCAGTAAAGATCAGTCTTGTAGCATACTGTAATATCTATAGGTTCTGAACCTTGGAAAGAAATTTTGAATAGTATAAAATATAGTCTATTGATAAACGTGATGGAAACTGTTCGGTTAGCTACGTGAAGCGTGCAGTCTGTCATGCTGGCACATGGGCACCTCTGCTGTGCTTTTCTCTTACCTGCTTGACCTGTGTCAGCATAGACACGGTTCTCTTTTGTCAGAGACCTTGTAACAACATTACTGTCGTCCTGTAGAGAGCAGACATCTTTTTCTGTTCTGGAATGCAGAAATAGAATGAAAGAGAAACTGCTTGTTTATGTATTTAGTGAAGTGGAAACAGTTATTTCTGTCAGTTACTAATGCTGTGTGTTTTTGGTTAGCTTATGCTGACAAATCACCTTTTGTCCAGAAAACACAAGCCTTTGAAAAATTTTTTATGCAACACATTGAACTTTATGATAAGGTAAGTAAATATGTATTTCTTTGTGTATGTGTGTGTCTCTCTAATTATATTGATGCAGTAGCATATATTTTTTAATGTGTTTTTTCTTTCGAAGATGATCTCCATCACAGCTGTGAAATGTTTTATGACATTTTCTTTGTGTGGTGCTTATCATTTTAAGTGTATTGTATGACTTGAAATATTTCACAGGATGAAATAGAAAGAAAGGGAAGCATCCTTGTGGATTATAAGGAACTGATAGAAGATAGAGAATTAACTAAATCAATACCAAACGTATCTACTGAGTTACGGGATATGCCTCAGAAAATACTGCAGTGCATGGGTCTGGCAATTCATCAGGTAAACTTGAAGTTCTGATAGATGTGAACATAACTGTCATGATTAAGTACTCAATCAAATGTAAAGGCAATTATGTTATTTAAAAAAACAACTTATTTCTGTGCTTTTCTCTATTATGGAAATCTGCTGTTTATTCAAAAACTCAACAACCTCCTTTTCTGTATCCTTTCTGTATGACCCACAAAATCCTGTTCTGAAAATGCTTTGGTTTTGTTGCATTTTGTCTATTTGTCATCAGAACAGGTGATGAAAGCTAAGTGGAATTCTAACAAATACATAATGGGGATGTCTAATTCCTGTTCTATTAATGTACTGTGGGTTGCCTGGGCAGTTTGTCCCAGCTCCTGAAGTGAAGCCATTCCTGGTGGCTGGCTGGGGGAGCAGATGGAGGAATTCCTGGTTCCATTCAATATCTCCTGTAGTATTTCACTAGTTGTTAAAAGGCGAATTTTCAGACATTTTTGTTAAACAACTTTCCACTCATTGACCAAGATTAAAGGTTATTTTTTTTTTTTTTTAATTGAGAAAACTTTACAAATGTCATAATTTTAAATTCTTTTTAGAATAAAGCTTAGAATTGGGAAGAAACAGGAAAATACTGTATCAGGAGTCACTGAACAGTAGGGAGCTCTCTAGTCTTCCCTAATGTGACAGATGGCAGTCAAAGAACAGCCAGCTGAATCCATGCTGTATGATATACTACATTCATGTTTGCCCTTCGTTCTGTATAGGTGCTAACCAAGGACCTTGAAAGGCATGCTGCAGAGCTGCAGGTGCAGGAAGGGTTACCACTGGATGGAGAGCCTATAATAAACGTTCCTCTCATTCACGCCAGGTAATGTTGTTGGGTATTTGTTCTGTTTGCAGGAGCATCTCAGCCTCTCTTATAAGGGTCATCATTGTCCATGCGTGGTGCTGAAGGTGTACTTGTTTTGCTGAGAGACTTTGCTATTTCCAGAACAGTCTGTTTTTGTCTTCACAATGACAAAAGCTAAACTTGTCCTTGTGAAGGAAAAGGCAAAAGCAGAAAGACTCTTACAACCCTGCTTATAAAGTGAAGAAACAGCTTATAAATAAATAAAGTATTATGTAAAACATGTTTATTAAAAAAAAAGAAATATATTTCTATATTTGCTCTTTATCGAAGGAAATAGGAAAATATTCAAAAGGATCTAGGCTTTTGGTAGTAAAAGGCTTGCCTTTATTAGGAAGTATATTATAAACCTGCATCCTTTTAATTAGACAGTGGAAGGTGTTTAGGAAAACCTGTGACCAAAGAAGGTATATACAATATCTCAAATCCTGTGGGGCAATTATGGACCGTGACTCTGCAGAAGAAGGTATTCATAAGTCAATCAATATATGATACTCTCAAAATATTTCTGCAACACAGGCGGGGTGGAGCAGTGGGTTGGTGGAATTAAGGATCCTGAGAAGGAGCAAGGCAAAGAAAAGCAGGACCTAAACCTGCTTGTATGTGAAATATATTCTGTTTATATCAGTCCTAGTCATTTCCAGGAGAGATGTATCACCATACAAGCAAAATGTATAGCTGTTAATGTATATTCAACTGGAGAATATTAAATGTGCTGCTTTCGAGAACAGGAGTTGGACGATATGTCGTGCGTTCGCAGATCAAATCATTCTAGTCATTGCTTGAGATTATGCTGGTAATTAGCATGTATGCCTCTTCTTTTTGCTTGGCTGCGGCATTTTTGGTTCATCAGTTAAGTGTGGTAAGCTTTCCAATTGCTCTCACTTAATATCTTTTGCAGACTGTACAACTATGAACCGCTAACTCAGCTGAAGAACGTTCGAGCCAACTGTTATGGGAAATACATTGCCTTGCGTGGCACTGTTGTACGTGTCAGTAACATTAAGCCTCTGTGCACTAAGCTAGCCTTTGTATGTGGCACGTGTGGAGATGTTCAGAGTGTTCCTCTGCCTGATGGAAAGTACACTCTTCCCACTAAGGTAAGTTAAAATCATCTAACTTTATGTTTTTCCCTTTTGCATTTTTGTAGGGCTTTGAAAAATAACAACACTGGTAGTATTTAAAGTAGGTGGGTGTGAGGGGGAGTAGTTCAGATGTTTAAAGCTGGATTAAATAATGAACACATAGGAAAAATTAAACTTACCATCCAACTTTGCATTACTACACAACGTTGTTATTTGGAAAAAAATGTATTCTGGTGAGACAAAGCAGTTTGTAGAATCTCCTGCCAAAAAAAGGGCATTGTACCAATTGTGTGTATTTTTTCCAACAGCTGAATCAGGGATCAGCTGGCTGTGCTTGATAGCTCTTTATTATCCATGTATATGTTATAATTTATAACCCTAATTTAGCTTGGATTTTTTTCTCCTGAAATTGCGTTAGTAAATCTCATTGTTTTACTTACTTTCTTTTTGGGGAAGAAGAAAAAAGACATTTAAAAACTATTTTTAAAGAGATTTGAGAATGAATTAGAATTAATACTGTTACAGTGCCTTGTTCCTGAGTGCCGTGGCCGGTCATTCACACCTGACAGGAGCTCTCCTTTAACTACCACAGTGGACTGGCAGTCTGTTAAGTAAGCTTCTTTCCTTCTGCACAAAAATGTTATACAACAGGGCAGTCCAGAAGTGACAGAGAGGCTCACTCTGTTTTGTACTGTGTAACTTTAATCTCTTTATGCTCTTTCAGTTTAAAGCCCTTAGTCCTGTCCCTTCACTGTGCTCCCTGCTGGAGTCCCTCCCCAACTTTCCTGCAGGCTTCTTTGGGCAGTGGAAGGCTGCGATGAGGTCTCCTCAGAGCTTTCTCTTCTCCAGGCTGAATAAGCCCAACTCCTTCAGCCTGTCTTCATAGGAGAGGTACTCCAGCCCTCTGAGCATTTTTGTGGCCCTCCTCTGGACCTGCTTCAATGGTTCCACATCTTTCTTGGTCTGGGGGCTCCACAGCTGGATGCAGTTCTCTAGATGGGGCCTCAAGAGAGCAGAGCAGAGGGGAATAACGCCCTCTCTGTCCCTGCTGCCACCCCTCTGTTGCTGCAGCCCAGGATACTGTTGGCCTTGCTGGCTCACATTCAGCTTTTGTCCACAAGAACACCTGAGTCCTTTGCAGGGCTGCTCTGTTTCATCTCCAGCCTTGTGCTAGGAGTTGCCCCAGCTCAGGCATGGCATGCTGGCTGGCACTTAGCCTCATTGGACTCTGTGAGGTTCACACAGCCCATGTCTCTGCCTGTCCAGGTCCCTCTGGATGCCATCCCTTCCTTGCAGTTTGTTGACTGTATGACTTAACTTGGTGCCATTTGTGGGCTCACTGGGGTTAATTGTGATCCCACTGTCCATATCTCAGACAAACATGTAAATAGAGCTGATCCCAATACTATTGCGAAACGTTAAGCTTGTGCCCTCTGCAACTTTCTTCGATTGTTGTTAGTTGTATCTATTGTTTAGTAATTCCTTTTAATGATCTGGAGGTCAGTTAGGA